TGAGTTAAGTTGATGACCCAGTATCAGAAGATAAAAATGATGATAAGATGGCAATATGTGGACAATTGACTAAATAGTACTATAAGATTTGGAGGTGATGAATTACCTTATAATTTAGAGGTTTACCTTACGGAGGAGAGTATTTTAGTTTTGGAAATATGCCACAACCTTTTCTTTTAATGTTAAAAGGTCACAGGTGACTTTTGATGAGGACCCGATTATGTCAATTAAGGCTACATGTGTTGAATCTAGGGAAGATGACTAAATAGTATTTCGGGAAGCATATGTGACCCGGTCACAGGGAGAAGTTATGGAATGGTCAGGTTATAGTGACACTGAAATATTATTGGCTTAAATGATTTCCATATGTGAAATAAAATGGACTTTCACGATTTTTTTTTGGGACAATCTAAATGTCTTAGAGACAATCTCAAGTGTGAATGTTAAAAGCAGGATATAGTGGAGATTGTTGGTTCATGATCAAGTATTTGAGGTAGATGTTCATGGCAGATCAAATGTCGGCTAAATAAATGACGTTATGAGTTGGAATTGGATGTTAGAGGTGTTAAAGAGTATAGTATATAAAGTACATTGATGTATGAAAGCATTTTTGTGAATCTTGAGTACAAACCATGCGGGGTTAGAGGATGGATTTTATTGAATTTAAAAAAAAAACACGTATGAAATGTGAGTTTGAATGTGAAGGTAGGATTTAGAGGAAGGTGTTGGTTGAATGGTATAATATAATATTTTAAATGTTCATGACTGTTAACATAAGATCAGATGTAGATACAAGAACTATTTATAATTGAAGAGGCAACCATTCTATAATTTGGAGGTTTGAAGACGTATGATTGGGAAGTTGTGATCAATTGATGCAACAGACTTGGAATCTAAGTTAAAATTAAGGGTGATCAAGAGTCTTTTACATTACATTACTTTGAGTATTGATTAAGCAAGTAATTCGAAGCTAAGAGCAATGAAATGAGTTGGATGCTGATCAAGGTATCCGAAGATACTTGAATCAGGTRGGGAGGTAAGCATCACATGCGGATGAAATTAAGGGAAATTAATGACCTTATGGGTAGGTGTTTGTTGTTACGATTGTAGTATGTTTAATAAGTTGATCAACCCTACGAATCTGAAAATCAATGCATGAAAGTCTTTCTTTTGGACTAATTACTATTAGTAGTATATACGGCTACTGTAAATTGTCATACACTACGACAAAATCGACTTTAGAAATGTTAAGGCATGCTATGAATATTTAAATGAGACATAGGTATGTGTCTATGTATTTGATTATGAGAATAATGGGAAATATTGGAAGCAGGTAGTACTATATATTAATATGGTGATGATACCAAGAGACGTACAACTGGGTTGGATGATCTTAATGTTTTAGAGAGAAGGAAAGACATAAGAACTCAAGTTTAAATGTGAAAGCAAAGTTAGAGGATTATAGGATTATTGTTTGTTGAATGATCAAATATCGTACTTTAATCGTTCATGATTAGTGGAAATTTGGGGATTTCGTTACTGTGCTTGGACTATTGTAGTATAGTTTTAAATGCAAATATGAGGAGCTAACATATTTCGAAGGTTTAAAACATCGAGAAGTTGTGATCAAAATTGTTCAAGGATTGAAGATTATTAGTACTGAAATTAAGTAAATACTCGACCGGGAATTAGTAGATGTTTAAGGCATAGTATGGGAATTTTAAAGTGAGAAAGGTATTTCAATATGTATTTGATTAAGTAATTTGAGGCTGAGATATTAGGAGTGTAATGGGTTGGATGTTCAAGGCCATAACGTTATGTCAAACCAAAAGTTACGATGAAATCAAGGAAACGCTGCTCAAGAGTACTATGTTAATCATGAGTACATGATTACATATGAACTAAGATGTTTTTCACTAATTCATTAGTAGTATGAAAGGATACTCCAGTTCTCACAGGATGTGTTGGTAATAACTAAGCCAAGATGCTATGGGACGAGTTGGTAATAACGAGTATCCAGTTATGTAATTCTAGGAATAATTAAGCGGTAATTTGCGATGTAGCCACGATAGAGAGAAAAGTGTGATAAACACTTTGGAGTTTGGAATGGTTTTGATATGCCAATATTAGAACACAAAACTCATATTGGTTCTTTGATCCAGTCTTTGGAAGCGGAAGAGGACTTGAAGAGGCGTTATCCTCGTCTTTTCGCGTGAGCTAAAATTTCGAGGACGAAATTGAATCCAAGGTGGGGAGAATTGTAACACCTAGGTTTTTATTTTATTTGTTTGGTTATAAAATTTCTTTTTTTATTTATTTCCAAAAAAAAGGGAAAGATTAGAATTAATATATATATATATATATATAGAGAGAGAGAGAGAGAGAGAGAGAGAGAGTTAGGGGGGTAGGTGTTGACTTTGCCCTTACCCTATTCATCCTTACCTATTGGGAAGAGTTCCTTCCATTCTTTTGTTACCGTCCTTTTCATGTTATTACCCAAAGGAGAAAAGAAGGGGGAGTAGGGAAAAGAGGAGAAAGAAAGAAAGAAGAAACATCAAGCTGCTGTTGGTAAGAGCAAGATCAAGACATCAAAGCAGCAGGTGAAGAGCAACAGCAAGCTGTGTGCTGTTTTCCCTCTTCTTTCGTAAGCACCAGCAGCGACAGCAACACAACAACAGGCTGTGTCCTGTTTTCGTCTTCTTTCGTAAACACCCGCAGCAACAGCAGCCGCAMCGGTGCTGTTGCGGGAACTCTTCTCAGGTGCCGCCACCGTCGATCTGCTCCTCCCGGCCATGCCTCGCCAAACAGCAACTGTCCGAGCTGTCTTTCTCCATCTTTTGTCGGGCACGTTTGGAAACTTGATCGGGAACATAGATAACCTCTGTTTTGAGACGTTCGTTACGTTACTGTTAGCTTCGAAAACTTAAGGATTTTTCCTAAATCCTCCTAGGTGAGTTCCTACTAAACTATTAGAGGCTTTATACATATTAAATCGATATGTCATACTTGTTTCATACTAAACCTCTTAAATGATTACCTTTTTGGTTTTAGATGGAACCTTTAATAAAAAGAAGGAATTCGGGGATCTTGTTTAGGAGCACTAGTTGAGTTTTAGGAGAAAGGATTATGCCACTTGAATGTAATGGAATTATAGACATGAATGTTATGCTTGAGTTGAGGCCACGTGAAGCATTATTGTTAAATAAGTACTATTATGCCATGGTACCCTATTTAAGTATTTTACTTGATTGTAACGAGTCATAAGGCGTGAAGAGTCGTTGCATGTATTTGTGTGAGGGATGGTGTAAGTTGGTGATAGGCATTGTGATTATTATGTAATCACCAAATCATCCTCTCACTTTCACTCGGTAATAGGCATTGTGATTATTATGTAATTACCGAGGTAAAGAGCTTATGATCACGACCGACTACATGACTGGTTTAGGTTGATGTCGATGGTTTTATACCTGTAAGTGATGCTCTATAACGTTGATCTATGACTTACTTTGTGTCTGTCATAATCAGCGGTAAATCGGGTCTCCCCCGTCATCTTCGGATGTTTTATTGTCCCACTATGAGTTATTTGGGTCTTACTGTCTCTATTCCTGTTTAAAGTTACGTCAACTATTTGCATGTATAATTTTATATATGTTCCTTTATAAACGTAAACTCTTTGTTTGGACTCACTAGGCGTAAGCCTAACCCTTTCTCTTTCTTGTTATATTTACCTTTTTAGGTTCTTTTAGCGGTGGGGCTCTAATGGGTTGAAAGGAGCGTTGGTTCGTGAATTACTCTTTGTAATTTTAACCTTTATTTCTCTTGCGCGTTGCGTTTTTGGATATTTCAACTTTTTGGAGAATGTTAGGAACCCCCGTCTTTAATCTAGATTTAGAATGTTCTAGATTAATAAGTTGTTATTTAACATCTCGATTAGCCGGATTGTAACCGCCATACTATTTCTTTTGTTGGTTAAATTTTATTTTATGCTTGGGGCTCTCACCAATGAATTTCGGTATATGTATTTTTAGGGGTGTTACACTATCGTACATGTGAACAGCCTACGTGGACAATGAAATGACAAAGAAACCTGGTATAACGGATAAATTTAATTTAAAATGTTACCCAATGCTATAACAAGTAAATTTTTGAAAGCATGATGCCCTAATAAACAGGGACATTTCAATCTTTTTGAAGATCCTGCTACATCTAAAAATTTTGATTACATTGCAAAACAAGATAACATAGAATATATGTTAAGAACAAAAATAAGCTAAACCTAAAACGATTAACAATATAAAACTAAACTTAAACCATTACTAATTTGAACCTAAAACCAAACAATTAATGGTTTGAACCTAAATAATTTCGGCTATAGTTTTACACAGGTCGATAAAAAGACCTTAAACACATGTAAACTTAGGCCCCAATATTTCAAGAGCCATGTTCAAAATCTCATATTTAACATGCTAATAAACGGTCCTGCTAATAAAAAATATTTTAAAAATAGAATACTATAATAAGAAGATTTGTAAAAATATATTGTTATTTCACACATTTTGTCGTATTTAAATTACTTGATATTTCGTTAACCTTTATTTTTCTCAACTTATCACAATATTAAAACTACGATTTTTCTTTCTAGAATTCTTACAGTTAAATGGGTGTTTGAGATTGCTTATTTGAAACAATTTATGCATTTCTATAAAAACATTTGTCAACTTATTATAAGTCAAAAGAATTTAACTTTTTTAAAAACTTTTTATTACCGGTTTAACATCGATAGAAGCTATTTATTCAAACACTTAAAAATACTTATTATCAATATCACATCAGAATAAATCAATAAGTTATTTTTACAAACAATCTCAAAGCAAACAAAACAAAGGATCAAGCAAACAACAATCTTGTGATCATGAAACCTTTACGTGTCCCGCTACTGAGTCAAATCGCTTTAATGGTCGCGATTTCATCATAAAACCCTATTCATCATATACATGATACAACCAAAACCTAGACTTCGATTCACACCTTTTCAATTCAAGTCTTAATATAATCAATTAGATTAGTGAAGAAGCAACCGTCACCGCCATCTTCATTCTAACCCCACCTGTCCTCTCTTTTTCTCTCTCAATCAATTACTCTAGACCCTTCTGGTCTTTTCTATCGAACCACGAAATAGATTGAAACATGTCGAGTAATGAAGAGACGGATGATTATCAATCGAATGGGCATCGGTTTCAAAACGTGAAGCAGAGGTTTAAGGATCGATCCAGGGTATGATTTTGATTATGCTGTTTCTGTTGATTACTTAATCGAGTTTTTGATATTTGAATTTGGGAATTTGTTGGTTTGTGTAGAAAGTTGCTCAAACTAAGGAAAAAACGAAGGAGATCTTGTCGAAACAAGCTATTAAAATCGCTAAACAAGCTGAAGAACATGAAAGGTTTATCACCAAGGTAAATCTATATTATTTTCTGCAAATGTATGCTGTAAATTTAACATTATCTATGGAGATTGAGCTGAATTTGTTGATTTCTTCAAATCTCCTCAAGTAGGATTCGAACCTACGACCAATCGGTTAAAAATAGAGACTCATACAAATTAATCATGTGTCAGGAACCAGAATTGCAAGTAGTTGATAGAAGTGGATTTTATGTCAAATTGGTTAAATTTCAAGCTCAAAATTGATATAGATCATAAGGGATTTGATCAAAACTGTTGATGACTGTATTCCGTTCAGTAAATATCACAGGCAGAATTTTTTTGTGTTATTCCGTTCAGTAAATATCACAGGCAGAATTTTTTTGTGTTCAATTTGTTACAAATTTTGTATCTATATATATGTGTGTGTGTATATATAAGTTGAGGTTCATGAGAAAACCCAAAAAAAAAAAAAAAACTGAGGAACATGTAATAACCATTCATGAGTTGGGTATAGATACGTCCATAAAGTAATTTGTATGGTATGTACATCTGCATAAAAACCAAGAAACATTTACAATTACTTTTATGCACATGCGCATATAGTTATTAGGGTGTTCCTCAGTTTTTCATTTTTGGTGGTTTTTCCCTTGATTTGAGTCTCTTTCCCCCTCTATATGTATGTGTGTGTGTGTATGTGTATATATCAATATTTGCATTTGGAAGAATTCGACTAACAATCGTCTTAAATGTGTTTGCCTCTTTGTGGTCCTGTAGGTTACTCATTTTATGGGTGTCTTTGGATTTGGGGGATTTTGCTTTATTTTGGGTGCAAGTGAGTAATATGCTCTATGCTATTGGGTGTCTTCTTGATTACTGTTTGGAGATTGGAATGGAGTATTCATAATGAATAATCTGTGAATATGTTTGTTTCAGGGCCACAAGATATCCGATACGTGTACTGTTTGATCTATATCACCTTTGTTCCACTTAGGTGGATTTACTATCGCTACAAGAAATGGCATTATTACCTTCTCGTACGTAGTATTCTCATTCATTTATGCTAATTCAATGCTTTTCTTTAGTAGTTTTCCTTTCTAATTGGAAGAAAATGGTGAAGCAACAAAAGAAAATATTGTTCTTTGGTTAATATCTTTTTGATCTTTTGTCCACTTTTAGTCGCATAGATTATTGGTCTTTTGTGTTGTATGTCATATATGATATCCCCTCTGTCTCAGAATAAGTGTCAACAATGAAAAAGACTTGCAGTCTTAAGAATGTGTAGCTATTACACTTTTTAATCCACAAAATGACAATTTTACCCTTAATGATAAAAAGAGAGAAACTTTCTCCATCTCATAATTAAGGGTATAATGGGAAATACACATTTACCTTTTTTGTTACTTTTCGCTCACACTTTTACACAAGCTGGGGGTCTTCACCAAAACAGTCACTCTATTCATTGGGGTAGAGGACATGTCTGTGTACATCTCACCCTTGCTTATACTTTCGAGTAGGATATACTGGTTTTGTTTGGGTTATGTGTCGGTTTGATCAAATTTATTCATATTACTTCAGCTATGCTCTCATGGACGATAGTGATTAAGCGTACTTCATATGTCATGTCTTGCAGGATTTCTGCTATTATGCCAACACCATCTTCTTGATCATGCTTTTGTTTTTTCCTAAAAACGAAAAGCTTTTTATGGTTTGCTTCTCGTTTGCAGAGGTAAGTGAGTAGATTGTATTCCGTCTTCATTTTCTTTTCAATCACTATTGGACTCATCATCATGATCGTGTTGACGGTTTTCAGGGACCACTAGCATGGGCATTAATCGTTTGGCGTTGTAGCTTAGTGTTTAGTTCCATGGACAAGCTTGTAAGCGTCCTTATACATCTTTTACCAGGTGGGTCAAACCGTGAATTCTTGGATTTTAAGGATGCGTTTGGTATGCAGGACAAGACATGTTATGACCCGAGTGGGAAAAAATGCATTTTTTATCCCACCAAATTGGGTAGAACAAAAATCAGGGAGATGAGATAGGTGGTAAATTACTAAACTACCCACGTTAAATTAAAACCCTAAAAAGGCTAAAACCTTCCATATTTCTTTCACTTGCCTACCTCACTCTAACCTGTCCTGTCCTGATGAGATAACTAGATAAGTGGTAAATTACTAAACTACCCATGTTAAATTAAAACCTTAAAACCTTCCGTAATTCTTTCACTTGCCTACCTCACTCCAGCCAGTTCTGAACTGGCCTGTCCAATCCTGTACCAGTGTGTTGTGAAATTACTTGTTGATTGTGAATGTTATGTGGGTGGCTGAACATGGGGGGCGTATTTTTATCGACAGGGGTGGTGTTCTTTACTATTCGATGGTGGGACCCAGCCTTCTTTGAAGCTATGCATCCAGAAGGAACGGCTCGAAGAGCTTCATGGCCCTATGTTGGAAGCAAATCTTTCCTATGGACATGGTTGTTTACGGTCCCATTGATTGCTTACAGCCTCTGGCAAGCTCTTTATTTTCTCATAGTCGATGTCCTTCGTCGACAAAGGCTCTTAAGGGATCCCGAAGTCATGACCTCTTACAGGTTATCTAAATTTTCACTTTTACACATTCATTTTCTATTAAGTCCTTTATGGATAAAGTAATCTGTGTAGATTAATTTGTCCTTAAAGATTGCAAAGGTTTTTGGGCCGACTTATCAGAAACCATTTAGCTTCTGGGGATTAATTTTTTGGAAGCGTAGAATATTTATATATGGAATTACTCGCACTTTTGAAACCTTAGACGAGGCTGGGCTCTACTGGTGACCCGAGTACTGCTGGGCCAATGACCAGTTTGGTTAGTCTGTGGCTTAATTGATGGTGATCTTGCAGGGAACTCTCTAAAAAGGCACAAAAAGCAAACAACTTGTGGTGGCGATTAAGCGGTTTGCTTGGAGATCAGAACCGTCTGTTTATGTACATCTTGTTGCAAGCCCTTTTCACGGTTGCAACAATGGCGCTTACGGTCCCGATATTTCTGTCGTACGAACTTCATCTTGCTTTCCAAATGCTCAAAGTTTCGGCAACCGTATGGAACGGAGGTCAGTTCTTGTTAGAAGTCATGCCGAGACAAGTTGTTCTGAAAGAGAAGAAGAAACAGAAGCCGGTGGTAGAAGAAAATCACGAACAAGAACCAAATCATGAAACTTCGGCCGAGGTGACTTGCGTCTCTGATTTGCAGTCTTAGCGTAGGCAACATGTATGACATGAAAACCGAACATCGTTTTTCGATATCGTATCAATCAGTTTAGTATAGGCGTTTACACGTTGAAAGAACTCGGTTGGTGTCTCAAATTCAAAGGTGTGTTTATTAGTGTGTTTTCAGAACCTTTTTAATGAAAGAAAGGGAGGGAAACGGGAGGAAAGTAAGAAAAAATTTACACATTTTAACAAACGAAATGGTTTTTAACCTAGTGGTATCGTAGTCTTTGGCCTCTTAGGAGGTCAAGGGTTCAAACCTTACCAAATGTATGGAGGGTGTGCGAGTTTACTTGTTGCATTTATCAAATATAAATATTATATACTTAAAAAAACACATTTTAACGATCTAACCTTTTATTTTAAAATAGTTTTACATTACTTTTTTTGTCATTTATATTTGTTAAATTACCAAACTGCCCAAATAACTAAAACCAAAATTTTAAAATTAAATCCCTAAATTCCGATGTTACGTCTACGACCAATTAAATGATAAGTTTAGTAGAGAAACGGAAGATTTTTTTTTTAACCTGGATATCTAACCCGCTATGTGAGCCGATTAATGCCAGGGATACCACCTGTTTTGCAGATATTTTGGAGTCATCGCATTTGAACCTTTGTGGCCACAAGGGGAATTTTATTCCTTCTTGGATTTGAACTTGGGATCTCCAGGTACTTTTGACCTTTGGAGCCAAGCTCAAACCAATCGGGCACCACTCTTGTGGTTAGAAAAACGGAAGTTAAGGTGAGAGGAAATGAAAAATAATGATAAGTTCCCTTTTAAAACAATGCTTCCAAATGTGAGATGATAGAGAAGAAAATAATTAAAACCGTTTAAAAATATTATTAAATTACAAAACTACCAAACTTTCATTGGTTGGATTCCGGTGAGAAAGAGAGTTAAAGATGAGAAACGTAAGAAGAGATCTCCACCTGTGGATGCACACTAAGATAAGATGCACCGAATAAATACTCATATCAAGCATAATTTATGGGTGAGTTTGAGATTAAAGGTGTTCAAAAATCCAAATCTCTTCTTACGTTTCTCACCTTAATTCACCTTCTCACACGATTTTTCGTCACATTTCTTTTATAAAGGTCAAAATATTACTCATAAAATGCGATTTACACAATCCAAAATACGTTCCGACTCTGATTCAATTTGCCCGGACACTCAAAACACACCAGAATTTCAACACGTAGGTCACCCGATAAACCAAAAACATCTCTCTCTCACTCATGTTAAGAATACCTTATAAACAAAACGACAATCACACCCAATCTTGTACGTAATGTGTGTCGATGAGGTCGATGTGCTGCTGCAAAATTAAATAAAGGAACAGTTATGTATATATATTAAGAGCGAGCTTAACAAATAACAAGAAACAAAGGATTGGATGATCATACCATTCTCAATCGTGTTTGTTAGAAAACAAGCCTTTCATCCATATGAAGCAGGACACCACTTTATTCCAAAATTGCCCTCCGCACAAAACAACTCTGTAACATATAAAGACTAAAAGTAGGAATAAGAATCACACATCACATCACATCAACTTCTCATCCTTCATCCTACACCACCACCTGTAATAGGGTGTCTTAAGATCAAGTTTCTAATATTTACTTAATTAATTTGATAATAACCTTTAAAAACCATTTTTATATATAAAGTAATGTTTGTTGATGTATATTATTTAAAATTTAATATTACAAATAAATTGTGTGTAAGTACAACTTATTAAAGCTTTATGTTTGAATTCGTGTAACTAACTGCAAATAAACATAATCAAATACACTATAAGTATTTTATTTTAAATATAAAAAATCTAAAATATAATTAGAATAATTATTGAGTTTTAATAGAATACTTAATTATTATTTTTATAAAAAAATATATAATTAAATAAAAAATAAATTACTTCATTATTAAATCTAGATTAAATTATAATAAAAAAATTGAATTAAAAAAATTGCAAAAAAACAAGAACTTTTAAATAGTTAATTTGATAGGAATATTGATATATTTTTGAAATTTTATGATATTTTCAAATTTATATTTTATTCAGAAATAAAAACATTATCACTTTTTCAAAACCATATAAAAATCGTGTTATAACATCTACAAAGACGGAATAAAACGAAATATTAAAATCAAGATATATCTTATTGCATTGTATAAGTAGTCTTCTAATATAAATAAATGAAAAGACATTAGAAGGAAATTTATTGAAGTTGTTCAAATAGCTTTTTTTTGTTAGATTGAGGAGTTTGAAAATATTAAAACAAGACATTTGATGTTGATTGGAGTTCGGAAATATGATAAATTACATGAAAAAATAATGTATTTTAACTTGCTTTCAAAACTTCCATTTTATAACCTAAAATGTAAAGTTTTAAACATTTCAGTTAGCCGGTTGATGTGGCAAGTGATGTGGTATCCAACTTAGTATTATTTACTATTCAACCCAATTTCATCACATCACTCGCTACATCAGCATGATAGCCGGTTAATGCTTCAACCGCCTACCCAGTTACTTAAACTTGCTTAATACCTCTAACCAAACACCCCTTAAAGATGATGATTCAACACAAACGGGAATAGAAGAGAACCTGTGAGAGAAGAAGCGCCACCAAGAACAGGAACAACAGCTTCTGGAATCACTTGTTGATGGTTTTTTCTGGTATCAAGAAAATTATATATATATATATATATATATATATATATCAGAAAGAGATCTGGTTTCAAGATTCTGATTTTTTAACTGAAAATGGGATTTTTCTTACCGTGGTAATACCGTTGGCTGGACTCTTTTGCAGCAAATGATCAGAGGGAGTTGTGCCATCGCCATTGCTAGACTCTGAACATGTACTAATACTATCATCACCTGCCTTGCTTTCAGATTCTTGGATGGATTTGAACTTGTTGTTGGTCGTAAAATCATTGAAATCTCCTTCTCTTACATTTATATGGATGATCGACTCAGGTTTCTTCTCGATGTCATCGTGTAGGTTCAACAACGTGCTGTTTTCTTTTCCGGCATTCGCACTACCTGAATCCAGAATTCCGGAGCTCTGCACTTTCTGCACCAAGTTAAGCTTTTTAAAACCTCAAACTGTGACCAAAATGTTTTTAGAAAAATTCATCTATGCGAGAACACATGGAGAAAGAGAATCGATTTTACACTAAAATCACCTAAAAAGTCACATAATTCATGCGACTTGTCGTCCGGACACCTTTTCATTGACTGTTAATACAAAATCAGATGTGATTTTGAATGTGATTTGATCATTTTCGTGTTCTTTTATTTGGTTACTATTCTCATTTGAACCTCACTCTTATTTATATATATATATATAGAGAGAGAGAGAGAGAGAGGGGTGAGTTATTATACAACCTCTTATATTTGTATAACCAATACAACTCAATCTCAAGTGTCTATTTAATTTTATGAATCTGTAATTTCATAGAAGTTTTGATTGTTTCCTAATATCAAAATATTGATTATAATTAATGAACCGTATTCATCTTCCATAAATATTTAAATCATAATAAATGAACTCTATCATTTCCATAAATATTTCAATTTATTGGGTTGCATTGTTTGTACAGATGCGATGAGTTGCATTTGAAACAAACTCTCTCTCTCTATATATATATATACACACACATGTATGTATGTATGTGTGTATGTTTGTATGTATCAGAAAATGATCCAAGTTTAGCTGATGTGGAACTTCAACAATTTCAACGGTTCAAAAGATGTAAATTCGTCTGACTTGTTCCAAAAACTATTTGGCGAACCAAAACTCAAGTCGTGGGTTGTAAATAACTTCCATAGACGAAAAACAACATGATATATCCCAGTAACCTCTTAATCAAATTAAAACCATGATGGAAGTTATTAATAGCTCATATATTTGAGCTTATAACTTACAAGGAGCTCACATGTCTTATTTTTACTATGTCGGGAAGGTGGTTACACCAATCCCTTAAAAAGGGGTGCGAATTGAAATACCGAATTAGAAGTTAACGTTAAGACGAACTTACCATTATAATCTCCGTAGCTCTGTTCTTACCATCGTTAGATTGTGAAGATATGGTAGCGATCTTGCTTTTGTTATCGACTTCATGTTCCCTGTTGATCTCTGATTCCTCTTTCAACTTCAGATCATCTATGATTTCTACACCCCTCTCAGGATCATTTGTCCAGCTTTTGTCTACTCGTTCACCATCTTCACCACCTAAAATTGTGACAGGAAAGCTTTGTTCTTGCTGCATCATATCAAAATTTCTAATGTCACTTACCCGTTTACTAAAAGAAATTAGATAAATGTTGATCAGTTAAGATGCTATGACCGGGTAAGTAAGCATCTCCACTCTGATGGGTTGTTTGGCAATTGCTAAATGGTTTGGTGCAGAATAATTAAGTGGTCAGAATGATTAAGGGGTGGTTTACCAAGCACTTATCCAGTAAGTGCTTACCGGTAAAATTTAACATTATTATTTACTTACCGGATAAGATTTTAGTCCACCAAATCGACATTATATGCAATAATTTACCCGGTAAGCGCTTATTGTGGTAAGAGTCGTCGCCCTTACTTACCGGGTAAGGGTTGTTTGTTTACCTCTTAATAGTTCCATTAAGAAGCAACCTCTGAATCGTTAACATGTGAATCTTGTTTGGCAAAAAAAAACTGTCTCTTAATGGTTCTAAAATCCTCTTAATGATTTTGTATTATGTGCCTCTCTTAACCATTAAGAGCCCTAATTTCATTGTAAACAATTATCGAACAATTATATTTCATTTTGCACTATATCATGAGAGCCTCTTAATCATTATGACCACTTAATGATTCTGCACAAAACCATTCATGGTCCTTGTCTTACTCTTACTGGGTAAGATTTTTGGTCCTTACCATATTCATTAGGTTAGGTAACATGACTTGGTAAGTGCTTACCCGGGTAAGTGCTTTTGTAAACGGCCCCTAAGAGGCTTTTATTATGTAGTGCAAAATAAAATATAATTGTTTGATGATTGTGTACAATAAAATTAGGGCTCTTAATGGTTAAGGAAGATCCATGATACAAAATCATTCAGAGGGTTTTGGAACCATTAAGAGGCAGACTTTTTTTTGCCAAACAAAATTCACCTCTTAACGATTCAGAGGTTGTCTCTTAATAGAACTATTAATAGGTAAATAAACAACCCCTCAGTCAGCAATATTTGTCGGTCAAAAGTGTTGGTTAAATAACATAATATCTTACCCGATAAGCACTACTTAGGATTTGCTTGTTAGCAGATTAATGAGACTCACAGTTTACTCTGTTACCTATACATGATTATGTGGTAGCGGCTTAATGATATAGAAATTGGTTTATTCAGTGAGCCTTTTAAGGGGGGCTTTATGCAAAAAGTCAAGTTTCTTTTTTCAAACTTGTACATTCCAACTAAAAAAATGCTCCTCATATCTATGAAAAAACCCTCTTAAACAAAAACCTTCCGATCTATATAGACGGATTAATTATTTCTTAATGAAAAACCAACCGAAACAACACAAAAAGAAAATTCATTTTGTGTCATGGTACTGGTTAAGATGAACTCACCGTAGTAATATCTTTAGCTGCATCCTTCTCTCCATTTCTATCTTCTGAAGATGTATCAACGCTCGTGTCCTCGTCTCCATTATTTTCTCGAGCTAAATCTAAGCGATCACTTAACACCCGATCATCGATAGTCTCTTTGACCTCGGAAAATTTCTCTTCTATATTCGATTTCTTTGTTTCACCATCATCATCCCCTTTCTGATCATCCTCATCGATGGTTTCTTCAGGTAGAACATTGCCATTACTGCTACCAAGTATAAGGACATCTGAGACTTCTCTGCCCTGCATCAAAAACCAAAAAATCATGTATGCTCCAAAGATATTAAAAATTAAACCGTTTAAAAAAAATTCGATGTCGGAGACTTGGATTGCTTTGTCGATTAGACATGAACTATTTCTAGATAATATACGATCCAAGGGATAATAAAATAGTAGCTATAGTTGGAGTTCGCCCATCACAAAATAACCAATTTTTTCCAAATTAGCATAAAATAACCAATTATTTCACAAAAACCAAGAGCAAAAACCATTTTTTTTCCCCGAACAATACCCTTTTTTTAGGTCATTTCGCAAAAGGATGAGCAAAACCCTCTCTTTTGCAAAATTTTGGGTTTTGCTCATGGTTTTTAAAGAAGTTGACCCCGGAAAATTGTCCAAGATAGTCATTCTTTTGGACAAATTTACTTTTAACCATTTCTCTCCCAAAATTTCCAAAATGTCTTTCCCTCTACAATTAGCAAGTCCTTTAACTTGTGGAGGGGTCAAAATGTAAAAACAAAGTGTTTTGAATATAGTCCACAAATACATGAGCAAATTTGTAAATTAGTTAAAAATCCGCAAATAGTTACTTGCGGAAGTATCTGGACTTTTACAGATTTGATCTCTGTACTGCGGACCATGTTTCAGAAACTTTTTATTTAAACTTTGACCCCTCTATAAGTTGAAGAGTTGCTACTTACGAAAACAACTATATTTTTAAAATTTTAGAAGAAAAATGTTAAGAAATAAATATATAAGACATAAATGACTATTTTAAACAATTTCCCTCCGTAAAATATGCCAAACAATACATTTCACAAAAACAATGGTTTTTTTCTCATATATGTGGTTATTTCGTGCTAATTTCATTGATCATTTGTGACGGATAAACTTCAATTTTGGTTACTTTGTGATTATCCTTTAATCTAACAGGGTTTCATATATGACACGATATCAGTAGTATGAAAATATACCTGTAATTTCAATGCTTTCTCGAGTTCTTCGACGACCTGAGCCATAGTTGGGCGTTCTTCGGGGTCTTTCATCACGCACAAGCACGCAATTTTGGCATAAGTTTCCAAGGATTCTGTTGTTATTTCATCCCTAATATCGATGTGCACGATCGTGCGTAATATATTCTGTTCCAGCCTCTTAGGGACCAACTCGGTAACATGGCGTTCCTGATAATCATCGGTATCAACCAACTCCGGCACCCCACATAAAACTTCAAGCAAAAGCACACCGAAAGAGTAAACATCAGACGCCTTATCCGTGGGATCGAGGGTCTTCTGAGCTTGTCCGGGAAGTAGTTTGGATAATCCAAAACCCGAAACCTTAGCTTCGAATTTTAATGGAGTTGAATGTGAATTCAACAGGATTTTTGGAAGTTTGATGTCACCGTGAACGATACCGGGTGTAGAGTTGACACCCGTATGCAAATAGTCAAGTCCACGAGCAGCACCAATACAGATCTCGAGGCGTTGGATTGTCGTAAGATGTTTACTCATCTTATCGGCTAGATTCCCACTTGAGACATACTCGTAAACAAGTATTATTTCGTTGCTCTTCTCGTCACAGAACCCGAGAAGAGCAACAATGTTGGGGTGTTGTCGGAACCTAGCAACCGTTAGAATCTCTGCTAAAAGGTTGGATTTAATGTGAGCGAGGTTCGTGATATTTAACCATTTCAATGCGACTTGTTGATGATCGAATTCTCCTTCGAACATGCTCCCGTAACCATGAATGTCGATTTTCTTACCAAAAATAATCTTCTCGTATGGAATTCGAAGGTGTTCCAGTTCGTTGCTGAACCCATCTTGGTTTTGGTTTGGTATATTATCACAGTTCCTGCTACTTGACTCCAGAAACCCGGAGTTCTGCACTTCCTGCATCCAGTTAAGCTGTTTAGCTTAAAAACTGTCTAAAATGAATGTTCACCATAAAAAAACAATGTTCAAAAAATATGTAATTTTTTTTTATTAACGTGGATATCCAACCAGCTATGCGAGCTGACTAATTCTAAGACAACCACCTGCTTTGTAGATAGTCCGAAGTCATCGTATTTGAACTTCCGTGGCCACAAAGAGATTTTTATTCCTCCTTGGATTTGAACCTGAGACCTCCTGGTACTTTTGACCTTTGGAGCCAAGCTCAAACCAATCAGACATCACCCTTGGTTAAAAATAATATTTTTTGTTTATGTAGTCTTAAAATCGTTATGGTTATCTTGATTTGTAAAAAAGGTCAAGATTTGGTCCATCCATCTAACGGTGTTACAAAATTCTGTTAAACGAGGAACGTTTTTGTCCTTTTTATTAATTTTTTTGTATTTTATCCAATCAAAAACCACATAGACCAAAATCATAAAATCTATCTTAATTGAATAAAAGATAAAAAAAATCAATAAAATGACAAAAACGCCCCTCGTTTAATGGAATTTTTAGCGACTGTTAGAGGGCCAAATTTGGACGTTTTAGCAAATCATGATGGTTTTTTGTAATTTTGAAACTACAAAAATGAAAAATATAATTTTTGACAAACCATAGGGACTATATTTGTAGTTTACTCTATTTTTAATTAACTAAATGACAATTTTTAACATTTTATGTATCCATTTCATCAACTCATAGATATTTGTGCCTTATAATTGAGGGTAAAGTTGGGAATGTAGTTAAATTATATATAACTATGTGTACTCTTTGTCAAACTTAATTTTACCTGGTTCAACGAATGATCTGTGGTACTGGTGTCACCATTGCTAGATTCTGAAGATGTAGCAATGATCTTACTTTGGTCTTTCCTCTCTCCGTTGGCCTTTGATTTTTCTTTGGAGTTTGAATCGTCTGCGATTTCTTCGGATGCCTCTAGATCGTTGATGTTGTCCTTTTGAGCATCCTCGATATGGGTTATGTCGGGTACACTCTCTACATTTATACCGTTTGAAATTGGAACAGGAAAGCTTCGCTCTTGCTGCATCAGCCCATGGTTTCGTCATTCAAAGGTTAAAATCGTCACAAAAATATTTTTGAAAACTCAAACACATACAAAGAGCTAGATTTGATTGCTTTTATGTCAAAAACAGTATATATTTACCAAAGTATTTAATTTAATGCTATATTTAGACATTAATCACTCATTTAATATTGTTTTTCACAAACAGATCTTGAACTTAAACCCAAAAGACATACATAAAAAGAATTTTTTTTTTGACTCAAATCACCATATTTCACAACCAAATTAACCTCTTAATCATTTCTTTAATGAATTTACCCAAAAATCACTAGGTTCATAATACCTAATTGCGGACCCACTAAACGATAAAAAATCAACGTTTTTGGACCAGGTCTGTAATCACCGGTTCACAACTATTACGAATTCGGCCCAAAGCCCATTTCCCTATGAAGGTGGATACTTATGGATCTGACATTACGGATTCAAGTAAAATGGATATGGATCTGACATTACGGATTCAAGGAAAATGGATTTTGGACTGGATCAGTGATAAAAAAAAATTATTAGCCTGGATATCCAACCCGCTATGCGAGCCGACTAATCTCAGGGTGACCACCTGCTTTGCAGATAGCCTGGAGTCACCACATTTGAACATCCATGGCCACAAGGGATTTTTATTCCTCATTGGATTTGAACCTGAGACCTCCTGGTACTTTTGAGCTTTAGAGTCATGTTCAAACCAATCAAGTACCACCCTTGTGATAATTACGGACATGTAGTTACAAACCTGAGCCAAAAACTCTAAAATTTTATTTTAAATGAATCCACTATAATTACATAACTAATGACTTTCGAATAAAATTCAGAAATAAATGGTTAGGAAGTCAATTTAGTTATACCATATGTTCATGTGGGTCAATTTTCCAACACAAAAGTGGTTACATATGTAACCAAAAGGGGTACAATGTGTGAACTTGCATCAATCATTTTGTTTCCTTGTTGCTAAAGGCATCAATGATTGAAGTAAAATATTTACTTTTTAAAAGATCCTAAATTTGAGCCTTTGTTTAATTGTGGTGTTCTATTTTGGCATTTAGAACAAGTTATAACTTCTAAGCAAGATTGTTTAAAATAAAAAATCAAAACTTCAATTTTTATCCGGAGGTCACAGGTTCAAATTCAAGAAGGAATAAAAATCTTTTTATGGCCACGGAGATTCAAATACGGTGACTCTGGGCTATCTGCATAGCAGATGGTCGCCCTGCGATTAGTCGGCTCGCATAACGGGTTGGATATCCAGGTTAATAAAAAAGAATTATATTTAACTATAACATTTTTTTTATTTTGAATATTTTAACAATAATTATATTATTATAATCTTGAAATATAATTAATAAAATATTATTTTTCACTCCTAAATTGTTTAATTTTAAAGATTCTTATGATAAGGAAAATAAAAAAAATATTCCCCACTTCTGATCAATTATTCAAAGAGAGTTCTTTAAATTTGAAAAACTTCATATTCTCATATTTTCTCCATGTTAGAGAAGATTTTGGAAAATCTTTTGAAATAAAAGCTAGCCAAAATGGATAAAAACCATACGTCCCAAACTTTCCCGTCTCCTTTATATCCAACAATCATATAAATACTAATTTTAAAGATAGAAAATGAACATGAATTAAATAAATAAAAATATGATATACCTTAATTTCAATGATGAATATGTTTCAAACGTGAAGATTTTTATCCGGGTAAAATCTCAAAAAAAATTATTTCAACCACAAGAGTGGTGTCCAATTGGTTTAAGCTTGTGTTCCAAAAGTTAAAAGTGGCTGAAAGTCCTAGGTTCGAATCCAAGAAAAAATAAAAAAAATCCTCTTATGGTCGTGGAGGTTTAAATGCGGTGACTTCGGACTACCCGTGAAAAAGATAATCGTTCTAAAATTAATCAATTCGCATAGCAAGTTGGATATCCAAGTTAATATAAAAAATCTCATTTCATTCAACTTTGGAAGTTAGTAAGTAAAAGTTACATTAAGTGGGTACTAATGGATATACGACAATTCACATAGTGACACAATTAATTGGCGAAAATCATATCAATTTATTGATCGTTAATATGCATTTATTTATCATAATTAAATTTCATTAACTTATATTATGGGGGTGTTTGGGATAGCTTATAAAAACTACTTATTAATTTATTCCGAAGTGGCATCGGTAATAAACATTTTTTAGTGTTTGGATAAACAACTTATATCGGTGTCAAACCGATAATAAAGAGTTTTTGAACAAGTTAAACTTTTTTGAGTTATAATCAGTTAATAAATGTTTTTATAAAAAAAGATAAGTTGTTTCAAATAAACAATCTCAAACATTATGTATAGCGATTAATTTTCATGTGTTAGAATAATTTTGAAGCAAATAAGCTGAAGACGAGCAATAACAAGAACACATTTGTTGAATTTTGTTAGGAACGACTCACCATGCTAACATCACCTGCTGCATTTTCCTCAGCATCGGTAGATTCTGAAATTGCACCAACGACGCTCACCTCGCGGCCGGCGTCATCTAATTCTGAATCCGCCATCACACTACTACCGTCTTCTGGTGGAGCGACGACTGTTCCATCTGGTGCACCGTCGATGGTCCGGCTACCAACAATTTGGACATCAGAGACCTCCCCTCCCTGCATCAAAATCTCAACGATATAAACACTATATCCAGCTAAAAACTAAATCGTTTCGACAATTTTTGCAAGTATTTACACGATATCGATTGTATGAAATCAACCTGCAGTCTCAATGCTTTCTCGAGTTCCTCGACGACCTGAGCCATGGAAGGTCGTTCTTCAGAGCTTTTCAGCACACACCGGCACGCGATTTTGGCGTATGTTTCCAATGATTCTGTTTTGATCTCTTTTCTTATATCGAAGTGCACGATTTTGCGTAATTTATTTTGTTCCAGTCTCTTCGGAACCAATTCGGTAACATGCCGTTCCTGATAATCGTCGGTATCTACCAACTCCGGCACACCGCACAGCACTTCAAGTAACAGCACACCGAAAGAGTAAACGTCGGATTCCTTCGTCACTCTCTCTGTAACTTCATCCGCTGTATCCGTGGATTCTAGAATCTTCTGAGCTTGTCCAGGCAGTATTTTGGACAATCCAAAACTCGAAACCTTCGCTTCAAATTTCGATGAATTCGAATCTGAATTCAACAGAATTTTTGCAAGTTTGATGTTACCGTGAGTGATACCTGGAGTGGTAGCGTCAACGCCGGTATGTAAATAATCCAGTCCACGAGCAGCACCGAGACAGATCTCGAGACGCTGGATCGTCGTGAGACGCTTCCTCATCTTATCAGCTAGATTTCCACTCAATGCATACTCGTAAATCAGTATTATCTCGTTGATCTTCTCGTCACAAAATCCGAGAAGAGCCACAAGATTCGGATGTCGCCGGAACCGAGAAATTGTTAAAATCTCAGCTAAAAGCGTTGGTTTAACGTTACCAAGGTTCGTGATGTTCAGCTGTTTCAACGCCACTCGTCGATCGTCAAATTCTCCTTCGAACACAGTTCCATAGCCCTGAACCTCAAGTTTCTTACCAAACTTGATCTTCTCATATGGAATTCGAAGGTAGTCCAGTCCGTCTTCGTTCTCCGTCATGATTCTCGACTTTTCCGGTTACCACCAGATTGTTGGGAAGTGGGTACAAAAATTTGGAGGAACTCCGATGAGATTGAAGTTATGGTTCAACGACAATGGCGGAAACAGAGGAGCAATGGAGATTGAACAGCTGGGAAATTAATATTTAGATTATATAGATACAGTAGGTGATGAATTCAACATGTGAATGCTGATCTAGATAGGATTTAAGAAATTTGTGTTGAAAACTTGAATCTAATAATGGCGGATACCGGTAGAAGATGATATGGCGCGTATGAAGGCAAGATGGCACCACCATAAATGAAACATGTGTATGGTGTGGGGGTATATTTTATTGGAGTGATGTCTTTTCAAACATCATTTTAACAAACAACAACATTATCGTTCATCAAAATAGAATCTCACTAAGCGTTTTATATCTGATAAACATTAATCATATAAAAGTTTTCTTTCTGATTTACCTGGTAAGATTATCAATTTTTATTATTCTAACCAGATAAGCATTTTATAAACAGTCCTTCAAGGTTATTTAGTTTGGGTATCAGGAATGTTTCTCATGAACAGTGTTTGGTTCGATTTTAATGAAAAAGTTGATTTCGTTCATCTGGTACTTAAGGTGCAAAAAAGCATGGTCCTTCAAAGCACTGGTCCTTGGTTTGCAAACTGTAATGGATTTGGGTCTGATAGTCTTAAAAAACAGCTAAATGCATCCTTGGAAGCATGTTCAGACTTCCAGACCTTCAAAAAGACAATAACTGGTTTTTGCTAATTCTTTTAAACAATTGTGTTTTTACCCATATGTCTTATTCTAATCTGGTCATTTTCTGAATTGGTTTTTAACTGGTTATTGATCTGAAAAATATGATTTATCTGTGCCCAAAGGACTAGACTAGTCCTTGGATCAATTTGATCAGTATTTGGTATTTGTTCATTTTGTGCAACTCTACTCAATACTGAATAATAACGCATCATCGAGAAAAGAGAACTGGGAAAATAAGAACTGATTCCAGGGTTCGGATGCATTGTCCGTGTCTCCTTTTTCTGCTTATGTGTTCCATTTCGTTTCATGTTTCGTTACTTGACAAGCAGGGAATTAGAGAACTCGTAATATATTAGAGATTTAATACGAAACAAATTTCATCGATTAGATAGACATACGACAACCGGCATCTATGGTCATGTTAATTGTTTTTATTTGCATGCCTTGTTAAACACACAACACAGTGTTTAAATTTATAAAATAAATCTGATATAAACTAGTGAAAAGATGTCGTTGTTTTCCATAAAGTTGATAGTTAAGTTATTTTTTTCTATTATATGTGAAACCGGATGGAAAACAATTTCAAAAAATGAAACATCACAGAGTATAACAAAAATATAATTAATGTAGGGCAAATTGCATGAAATAGTAGCGTATTTTAACTTGATTCCTACTATTGGTTAACGTATTTTCAAAACTTCAATTTTAATACCTAAGATGTAATGTTTTAATCATTTAAGTACCCGATTAACTGGTTACCATGCTAATATGACGAGTGATGGGATGACAGTGAATTGAATAGCAAATAATACTGAGCTGGATACCAAATTACTCGTCACATCTGCATGGTAACCGGTTAATACTTCAATCGGTTACCTGGGTATTTAAATGTTCAAAACTTTACATCTTAGGTACCAAAATGAAAGTTTTAAAGTATGTTACCCAAAATAGAAAGCAAGTTAAAGTACGATACTTTATCATTTAATTTGCCCATTAATATAATAAACTATAAATTCGGTCCGTATTGTTCAAATAACAGTTTCCATCTCTACAGTTTTAAAATTAATATATAATCATCTTAATTTGCATTTTAAATTAATGATTGAATTTTTTTTTCGTTGATTTTCTACGTGTCCGTTGTTTTTATATTAATATTATTTTATTGATTAAAAAATATTGATAAATTAAACAATAAATATTTTTATCTTTATAATATAATATAATATAATTATATACGTTTTTTTAAATAAAAAACATATTTTTATCACATGTGTAATGGGATAAAAATATCTGAAAATCTAAAATAATAATCGTTGACGAATAACATAAGATTCTACGTCAATCATGTTTATATGTGTGGCCACGATCCTATAAAATTAAGATTTTTTTAATACAAAAAATAATATTTTATTTAAATTATATTTAATTGAGTGAATTACCCAATTTGGTCCTTGTGGTTTGGTGAAAATTACGAGTAGACTCTTTAAACTGTGTTTATTACAAATTTGAACGCTTATTATCTCTCGTCTAACATCGTCAAAATTATTTTGCTCATTGAAGGCGTGCGCCCCTTATATGAGGGCAAAAATGTCTTTTACCCTCTTTTTTCCCAGCTTTTTTCTTCAGCAGCCTAAAGAACTATCAAGAACGTTAATTTAAATCAGTGAATATCAAGCGTACAAGAAATAAACACGCTAACCTTTGAGTATTTCAAATACGTATCAGGAACACAAGAACCTCATCATAGTAAACAGGAACATTGTACAAATCCTTTCACAAAAAGCAGTGGTACAAACCCATGTAAATCAAAAGCCCTGTTTTCAAATTAAAAAAATCTGAATTCAGATTAATAAAAACCTAACCCATGTAAATCAGAAGCCAAAAGAGAAACCCGAATGAGAAACCATCATTTGAGTTTATATCATTAACCCATAATTGGTAATCACTGCTTTTTAATGTGGTCTCTTTTAGCTCCAATCAACCTAACTCCCTATTGACAAACAAGGGAATGCTTTTACGGTCTGCTTGGCTCATGCTGAGGATTGAAAATGAAAATGAAAATGAAAATGACAGGGATGAAAATGGGAATGAATTTTCATTTCCACCAGTTCAACTAGGGGTGCTCACGGCCCGGGTTGATCGGTTTTGAGCCGTTTTAACAACCCAACCCAACCCAATGTTGGCGGTTTGAAAATTTTCAACCCAACCCAACCCAACCCAAACAAAAGTTCAACCCAACCCGTTCGAGTTGATCGGGTTGATTGAGTTGTGTTTAAACAATGTAAAATCGCATAAAAATAAATGAATTTTCCTTTGAAATACGACCGACCATTCAAGATAATATGCAAGTTCATCAAATATTTAGATATTACAATAAAAATGTTTAAACCAAATGATAATACATCAATCAACAACAATAGTTTTAGACATTTCCAACCCCGATGCTTTTGCGTTCTTGACGTTGAGGTTGGTAATGTCATGATTGTCATCTACAATTCAAAGCTAAAGTTAAGGTTGGGTTCATCGGGTTGGTCGGGTTTTTTTGGGTCTGACCCGATTCCAACCCAATAAGGTCGGGTTGGCTAATTTTTTTATCGATGATGCATCGGGTTACCTCGGGTTTGGTTTTTTTTAAATTCGGGTTGGGTTGGTCGGGTTCATCGGGTTTTTGAGCACCCCTAAGTTCAACCATAAATGAAATTTTGGGCTTTTGGAGGAATGAACCCGTTATAATATAGAAAACAAAACAATTTCTTTTATTTTCATTTCCATTGATTACTGCTTAATAACTCTAATCAAACACCCCTTTAGTTCTTGTTTAATGCTTCTATAGATTACTCATAAATATATACAAACTAGTCTTTCTAAGTATCTCAAATAGGTAGAACTAGTGTTCCTTTGCACAGTCTTAACCTGAGGTCCATCATCTCGATAACCTCCATCCCTTAAGCACTTTCATCGATCACCAGTGTTGATGCACCCAACTTTGGTGAATATTTCATTGAGATCAAAAACTGTCCCAATTGGTTCATTTCCTATTTCTACTTCATTTATCACGAATATGCCATTTCAGACAATAACCCTTTTCAATGGAGGCAGATTGAGCGGGTCCCTCACGATGATACCAACAGTTCCCTCAATTCTTGCCTAAGACGGTTTCTTTTAAGAAATGCATCTTGTCAAACAAATCTGACATAAAAGCAGATACTGGAGCTTGTTTATCTCTCTATAAACTCCTATGAAACAAATGGGGAAAAGTTTCGTATTTTGATTCTAAACAGGAACATTTTAGATCTGTGACAAAGAAGAAGCAATACATTAGGTTTTGGTTCTTTATTTGATTCTGATTTTGGGTTTACCAATTTAAAAGAGAAAAAATTAATTACTTAATTAAAAAAAATTGAATTTTAAGCTCTGTTTTGTCATTTATATCCAAAAAGACAAATATACCCCTCGTATGTGAAGCACGTGAGGATTTGACCGACACCACAATAAAAGGTGTGGACATTAGGGACCATATTCGTTAAAAAATGAATACCACAAGAGTCAGATTCATGATAAAACATAGTTTAGGGGCTACTTTGTAATTTTTATCAAAACACAAGGACCAAAATCCGTAATTGATTATTTCATTTTTTTTAATCAACATGGATATCCAACTCGTTTTGTGGGTAGCCTGAAGTAATCGTATTTGAACCTCTGTGACCACAAGAAGATTTTACTCTTAAAGTGGTTAGAAAACCCTGATATATTTGAAAACTGTATTAATTACAGATTTGATGGTTTTTAAAAAATAATTAAAAAAACATTTATTTTTTTATTATTGTATTTTTTCTTTTTCTTGAAAAAGGAAAAAAATATTATAACATGTGTTTTTTATTTATAAAAAGAAAGTTGAATTATTAAGTGATGAGGATGGGCATAAAGACGTGAGTTATGACTAATGGGATAGGGTAGGGATTGGTTTAATTTCATAACCAATCAAATTAATCCACGTAGATCATTTCTTATCTTTAATATTATTATTTTTAATATTTAAATTATTTTATAAACTTTATATATAAAATGACATTGACATATGATAAAAAGGTATAAAAAATAGGGTTGACTTTCAGTGAGAAGGAAAGTTATGATGATAAATATAAGAAAAGATCTTTATCTTCGGATCAATACTAATTGGGTGTTAACACTAATGAGGTGCACCGAGATGCACCAGATCAATTCATTTCTAAAGTGCATT